ACCTTCCTTCCTGGCTATGTAAAAGGCAGATCGCACACGCCAGAACCCAGCTGAGCACCGGCAGGAGCGCGGGCTCCCTACCGGTGTCACCTGCAGCGGGCACAATCCCGGTGCCACTCACCTCTCCTCTGCTCCTGGGGTACCCCGACCCCTCTGGCTGAGTTACCGTGCTGGGGGAAGCTCGCTTCCCTCTGGCCACGCAGTTCGCAGGCACTCATGCCCAAAAGAGGGGCCCCCGGGGCTCTGTGCTGCCGGGAACCGAGCCGCCCCCGCCGCGGGCAGCCCGTGCGCTCGGCCCGGCGCTGGCCGCAGCACCGCGGCACTAATTGCCGGCTGCAGCTACGGACAATCGATGCTACTGCTCCCCATCGGGCCGGCAGCCGTGGGGAGGCTCAGCAAGCACCTGCGCCCGGCCGGCCTCGTCCATGAGCCGGGAGGGGCTGGCCCGGCCCCGGCGGCCGCGGGGCTCACCCGGGAGCGGGGCGGGAGGCGGAGCTGGGGCCGGGCCGTGCCGGAGCCGCTGTTCGTGGTGCTGAACTCCAGCAGGGCCTCGCTCGTCCCGTGCGGAGCCAGCCCGGGGGCGGCGCGGGGCCCTCGGCTCGCAGCGCTCCCCGGAGCCGCCGCCGCTGCCCGGTGCCCGGTGCCCGGTGCGGGCGGGTGCCGGGTCCGGCGGGGCCGCTCCCGCCCGCTGGCCGTCAGTAGATGGCGCAGAACCCCCGGGAACCGAGGGGCGACCGGCGAGGGCTGCGGACGGCGCGATGGCCCCGGCGGGTCGGGGCGGGCACCGCGCCCGCAGCCTGGCTGTGTGACCCGGGGCGGCCCCGGCGGCACCCACCGGCGGCACCAGCCCTGATTTGAGGCTGCTGGATTCAAACGGCAGCGAGGGTGGGAGCGGGCACGGCCCCGGGTGCCGCCCCGCCACGCGGCGCTAATTAAAACAAACAAACAGCGGCGAACGCACGCACGAACACACGGCGGGGCCGAGCAGCCCGAGGGGCGGGGGCTGTGCCAGGACGGGCCCGGCCCGGTGCGGAGGAACGCGGCTCGCCCGGCCCCGCTCCTCCTCCCGCTGGGCAAACATTAACGAAGGGCAAACGCGGCTGTAAATCAATCCCGCTGAAGGACACGGCCGGCAAACAAGCGCGCCCCAGCGCTGCCCCGGCTGTGCACCGGGCACGACTGCTCCGGGCGCTCTCCCACCCTCCGATCCCTCCCGCCCAGGCCCCGCACCGGCAGCAGCAGCGCGGCCGCTGTCACGGCCCGAGGTGCGCCGAGCCAGGCCCGAGCTGTCCCCGTCCGGGCGGCCCGCAGGGTCGGGAGGGGCAGGGCCTCTCCCCCGGGTCCGGAGTGTCGCCGGTGAAGGCCCCGGTCGATGCCCCCCGCCTCCCTGATGCAAACGCCTTTATGCAAAGTGCCCGCAGGGTAAATATTAAACAGCCCCTAATGAGGCCACCGGGGCCGGGGCGGCCCAGACCTTCCCGGTGCGCTCGGGGGCGGCGGCGGGCGAGAGGTGCAAACGGCGTCATTAGATTTCATATTTAATGTGGAAAACGCTCTGATTACTCCATCGATTTCTTTACAGTTAATTTGGCGAGAATTTCTCGCCGGCTTCCCAAGGCTTCAGCTTAGCCGGGATTCACATCGGGAGGGAGAAAGGAGAAGGGGAGGGGAGGAAAAGAGGTGCAGCTATGAAAAATAGCAGTGAGGTCGCGGGCAAACGTGGAGCAGCTTTGGAGGGACGGGCCTGTCCCCTCCTGAAAGCCGCGGGCGAGCGCGGGGTCCCCTCGGTGCCCCGCTCGGGGAGCCCCACGGGGAACCTTCGGGACGAGCCCGCTCGGAGGGCGCACATGGCAAAGGACCCCCTCCGGCAGTGGATTCTAAAGAATCTCGGGCTCCCTTACACCCCTCTGGCGCCTTCACAAAATGTGTTTCTGCCGCGTTTTCCCCGGGCGCTACCCTTGCTCCCGAGCGGCGGGCCCGAGCGAGGCCGGCGGGCAGTCGCAGCTCCAACAAAGAATGGCTCGAAGCAGATTATTTTTTCCTGAACAAGACAAAGTCGTGGTTTTTTCTTCCTTTATCCTCTCCTGTTTCCTCTTTCTCACACACACGGAAAAAAAAAAATCCAACAAACTGAAATTAATTCAGCCCCAAATCCCAGCAGGCTGCAGGAGGGATGTACTTTTTCTTTTAATTGTATTTATTTTTTCGGCGTCCCCTTCGCAGCCCTTCCAAATGTCAATGAAGGCGAGAGAGAGGGAGGGAAAACTAACAGAGAGACAGTCAAATAGATACATATTCAGTGATAGAGAGGAGAGAGAGAGTGGGACAGACAAAGGAAAAAAGAACAGAGAAGAGAAGGGAGATGGGATGAATAAGATGGAGGCTGGAAGAGGTCAGCTTTGCAATTAGCAGTTCTGCTTACATTTCAAGAGACAGCCCAGGAAGTGTCAAGACCTCAATCCTGCTTCCATGTAACTACCAATTTTTCTTCTATTTGTCGGAGCTTCTGTAATCTGGGAGGTAGGAATCCCCCAGGGACGGCTGGAAGGGGCAAATACTCAAGATAAAGTGCAAGGCGAGACCGCGAGGCCTAAAATAAGCAGGCTGCATCCCCCTCACTGCCTCCCGGTTGTTGTCTGCAGGAAATCAGAAAGGGAAGAAATGAAGGCGGCTCTGGGTATTTATCTACCTGATAATTCTCTAAACGCCCGGGAGTGAGTTATAATTTGGACGTGAAATTTAATTTGCGTCGGCCGCAGTAATTTATGTTATTTCGAATTGATGTTCATACATCAATATCAATCGGGGCAGATTTTTACCACTTAGTAAGATCATCACACATTTAAAACCTGCACAAAATAAAATCGATACTTTATGCATTTACAGCCGGCAGCGCGGCGCGGAGGGGCGCGCAGGCTGCGCGGGGCGGGGCGGGGGCCCCGGGACCGCCCCACGGACAGGGACGCAGCTCTATGCAAATGCCCACGTGCTGCCGGAGCCCGGGTGGGCAGCGCCCGGCGAGGCCCGGAGCCCCCGGTGCGCGGGGAGAGCTCCGCGGGCCCGGCCCAGAGCCCCCGGTGCGCGGGGAGAGCTCCGCGGGCCCGGCCCGGAGCCCCCGGTACGCGGGGAGAGCTCTGCTCGGGATGCTCTACATCCCGACCCCCCCGTGCTGCCAGCCCCTCTCGGCCCCGGGGAAGCCGTTTCTGTAAGGTGCCAGCTTTGGGGTTTCATCGGAAAGGGAAGGCGGAATAATGAGGCTTTGTCTCTCTAACGGGATTACCGGGATCCGTTTATGAGAGGGCAGCGCTGAGGTGGCTGGAAGAAGGGGCGGTCTGGGGGCAGCAGCAAACAATGGGACCCTCCGGACCCGGCAGCTGGGCAGAGCATGGCCGCCTCCCTCCGTCCCTCCGTCCCTCGTTCCCTCCCGGCCTGCAGCAGCCGGGGCTGGCAGAGCTCCCCGGCCGGCAGCGCCAGGGAAGGGATGCCAGCAGGCTCCGAATCGAGGGGTTGTTTCCAGTATCGATCTATGCAAATGAGCGGAGATTCAGGTCGACCAAATTGTCGTAAAAACACGCTCCAAATCGAAGAAAGTTCGCCTTAGCAATCGTTACGGGGAGATTGGAAACACAAACTGCATCCTCCTCTCGTGGGTAGCACCAGCAAGACGAGGTTTTTTTCGCTGGTGGGGTGGCTGCTGAGGGAGGGAAGGCGGAAAGGGCAATTTCTGAGAGCTCAGACCTTTGAAACCGACTCGGCAGGAGTGGAAGCCAAAGAGAGCAACGTCCTCCACCGGCGGGCACCTACGGGCCAGCTACAGCGGGGAGGGAGGCCCTGCCCCGGACCCTTCCCAGCCCTGCTTTAGGTTTCTGGAGCAAGGTGGTTCACTGAAAAGAGGCACGGAGCACGGGGGTGGCCCAGCCGCGTCCCTGCACACCCGGGGAACGCTCGCAAGTTCTCACCGTCTCGGTAGTCGAAAGTGCAAGACACGTTGAGCTTTTGAAAGGAGAAAGATTTGGCCCTTCCCTTATTTTTGTCCGTGAAACGGATCAGTGACCCTGGCTCCAACTCGGATTGACTGTCTTGCGTTCTCCAGGGACAAATTAATGGAGACCTATCACTTAATTAACAAACCCTCACTCACGGTATATTAAAGCCGGGCTCTGCACCCGGAGCGCAGACGGGAGGGTTTGGGGAGGCGGCAGGGCACAGGTCCGGACCGGGACGGCCATCTCCGAGCGGACAATACGGGACCCGCTCGGGAGCACCCCGAGCAGCAAGCACCGGCAGCGGGGCAGCGGAACGGCGACACGGCCGGTTCGTGTCACGGAGAGACATCCACGCGAAACTCACAGTGCGCGGCCTAATGATAACTACAACCAGTTTAAAAAAATGAAATCAAACGAATTTAGCCACCAGCATTTCTCAGGCACCGCTCACCCGCCGGGCTCGGCTCATTCGAACCAAACGCGTGTCCCAGCTCACCCAGCCCCAGCGGGACGCGGGCCCCGAGCCCCGCCGCGACCTGAGCCCACCGCCCCCGCACAAAGCAGGGGCACCGACTCCTCTCGGCGGGCATTACCGGGGCTCCCCCGCACCCCGTCCGCGGGCCCCGTTCAGCCGCCAATTCCAGCATTTCCGCCTCGCCCTCCGCGCCCCGGGCAGCGCTGCCGCCGGCCCGAGCGGCTTTCGGCGGCGTCCCGTTACCGGGCGGGCTGGGCGATCTCCTGCCCGCGGCAAGGGAGCCTGGCCCGGGGAACGGGGAGAGCCGGGGCGCCGCACTGCGCTGCCCGAGCCCCGAGCCCCGAGCCCCGGCTCGGCTTTGTCTGAGGAACCGGACGGTGCCGGTGCACCGAGCAGGGAGAGGGCAAGGGAGAGAAATGGAGTGGCGGAACGGGGATCGGTGCTGCTCTTCAGGGACGGGCAGGGACCGGGGCGGCCTGCCCAGGCCCGAGGCCCCGCTCTGCCGCTGCCGTGCCCCGAACACCCCGCAGCGGGCTCACCTGCAAGCCGCAGAGCAGACATCCGCTGAAACTCCGGCTCCTGGAGCCACTTCCACATTCTGCGGAAGGTCTCCCGGCCGGATTTGAGCTTGCTCCAGGGCTTGGGGTTCCTCAGCAGGTCTGAGAGCGTCCCTTGAGAGCGGCACAGCACCCTCTGAGCGAAGATAGCCTGGGGGATGCTGTACCGCTTGAGCTCGGTGGTGATCCTCTGAGCTACTTCTTTGGTATTGATTTCTTCCATTTGCCCTGAATTACTTCCACTGTTGACCTGCGAACCAGTTACAGAAGGGTTTTGCTCCCTGGCAGAGCCCAGGATCTGCCCGTGGCTCTGGGCATTCAGGTGGGCATGGGGGTGGTGTGGGATCCCGTTGATAGGCACCATGCCAGCGGAGGTGGGGGTGAGGTGTTGGTCGCCATGCCTGGCTAACATGGCAGGGTGGTGGGCTTCAAATCCGTTTGGGGTGAGCATTTTCTCGGCGGGCATGGTGGCACTGGGATGAGCGTAGTGGGGCAGCCCTTGCTGGGAGTTGTGGATGCTCCCCAGGCCCGATCCAGACAACGGAGAGAGGCTCTGCCCCATGCCGGTAACATCCTTGTGGTAGGGGGTGTAGAGATTGTTCATAGACGCCAGACCCCTCTCGTCCCGCATGAGCGTGAAGCTGCCGCTCACGTTGCCCGGTATCCGCTGGTGGGGATGGTGATGGTGGTGATGGTGGTGGTGGTGGTGAGGGAACTTGTCCGAGACCGTCGAGATGGGAGGTAGAGGCTGCAGAGGGGTTAACGTGGTGTAGGTGCTGCTCATGCTCATGCCGGGGGGTGTCTCGCAGGCCATGGTCATGGTGGGGTGCAGGGGGCCGGTCAGGGCGTGCTCGGGCGGCCGGTGGTGGTGGTGGTAGTCGCCGCCGTCGAGGATGGACGCCATGCCCATGGAGCGCGGGTGGGCCGGCAGGTGGCTGCCGCGGTGGGCCACCGCGCTCCGGTGGTGGGGGCTGCCGCTCATCAGGTCGGCGGCGGCGGGCACCGGCTCATGGCTCACCCCGTGCAGATCGCCGATGTTCTCCATCGCCAGCTGCGCGTTCATCGTCGGCCGTGCGGGCGGCGGGACCGCACATCTATCTGGTGGGCGGCGGGGCGTCCCGGAGCTCTTGGCGGCGGCCGGTTGCTCCCGCGGGCCGGCGGCGGCGGGCGAGCGCTGCGGGCTGGTGGTGGCGGTGCTGCTGCTGTTGCTGCCCGGGCTGCTGGCTTTTTCCCGGTTTCGGTTGGTTCTTTTTTTTTTTTTTCCTTTTAATTTTTGTTTCGTGGCAATGTATTTATTTGTTTTTTCCCGCTGCTGGCTGGCGCCGCCGGGCCGGTCCTAGGGCCGCCGCTCCCTCAGGCCGGGCCCCGCAGCCGCAGCCGCGGCGGGTGTGTGGCCGCGTCCCTCGCCATCCCCAGCCATGGCTCTGTCTCTGTCTCTGTCTCTGCCCCGCGCTCCGGCTCCGCTCCGTGCTGCAGCGCCGCCGCCGCCCGCACCGCGCATGCGCGCGGCGCCCCCGCCCGCCCCGCCCCGCCCCGTGACGTCAGAGCCGCTATTAAGCGGGCGAGCCCCGCGCGGCGGCGCCCAGAGTCGGTGGTGCTGCTGCTGCTGCCCCGGCCCTGCCGCCCTCGCCCCGGGCACAAAGGGCCCAGAGCCCGCCCCCGCTGCCGGCCAGGGACACCCGCCCCGCCCCGCCCCTTCGGTGACTCCGCGTTTTCCGTGAGCGCGGAGCCTCCTCACCGGGAGCTTCCGGAGGTGACACCGGACCGCCCTGCCCCGCGGCGCCCGCGGGCCGTGCCCCCCGTGTCCCCCGCACTCCCCGCCGTATGTGCCCACGCTGTCCCGGTATCGCTCCTCTCAGGTGCCCTGCGGGGAAATTTCCCGTTGCCCGGGCCGGGGATGGGCGGTGGGAGCCGCACGGAGCCGCGTCCCGGGGCCGGCCCCGAGGCTCCGCTCCCGCACCCCTCCCGCAGCCCTGCCGGGGGTGCCGCTGGTCCGGCCGGGCGGTGCGTGGGGAGGGACGCCCCCCTGCAGCCCCCGCCGGGACCCCGGGCAGTGCAAGGCGAGCATATGTCCCGAGGCGCCCAGCAGCCGGACATGCCGCTGGTTTTCTTTTATTTTTTCTTCAAAAAGAAAGAAAAGGAGGCGGAGGAGAAAGAACAAGCGAGCTCACCCGCCGGCCCCCCTCGTTAGCTAAGGTGCCTTTATGCTGGAAGAAAGGGCAGATGTGCCTATTGTTCGCCCATTAACAATAACGAACCACGCCGGGCAGAGTGCAGCGTGTGCGCGGCGCCGAGCGGCGGGAGGGACGGGCCGAGCCGAGCCGAGCCGCGGGAGAGCCGCGGGGCCGCAGCCGGGCGGCACCGGGCCGGCAGCGCACAAAGGCCGCCGCCGCTTCCCCCCGCTCCGCTCTTGGGCACCGCGGTGTCTCTCGGCACCCTGCGGAGCCGCTTGTCCCTATCGTCCCCAGGGCCAGGCCCGGGAACAGCGAGCAGATCTGCGCCGCGCTGGGGCTCGGGCCGGGCTCCCGGTGTCTTTTCCATGGAGCGGGGATAGGAGCTGAGCACCTGTCCTGGCAAAGCCCGCACCGGCGGCACGCAGAGCCGCTGCGTCCCGCGGGACCCGCGCAGGGCTCAGTGCGGGGGCATTGTCACCGTCCCGCGCTCCGCTGAGAGCTCCGAGACCCCTTCCTTGGCAAGAGGCAGGAGCCGCTGGCAGCGGCCCCCGGGGAACGTAGGGACAGAGACAGGAGCCGCTCCTGGGGCAGGGTCCCCATGGCAGCCAGCTGAAAGCAGCCCCTGGGGTTACTTTTCTCGGAGTTACTGCCCTAACTTTAGTGACAGGGCCTGCGGAGAGTCCCCTCGGTGCGAGGGCAAGGGCACGGCTCGGGGTCCCGTGGGGTCTCACTGTTCTCCGGTTCACCGAGGCAGCGAGACCCCTGGCCCCGCGCTTTGAGCCCAAAGCCCCGCACCGGTGGCCTGGGCTCGGAGCCCCACGGCCGGAGCCGGGCCTGGCCCCGCTCCGTCCCTGCTGCCCGTCCCCACGCCCGCGGGAGCAGCCGCGGCCCCGCCGCGGGGTGCGGACCGTGCCTCGCACCGGAGCGCCTGGCCCGGCCTCCCGCACGCCCGCCCCGCAGCGGGACCCGGAGCTGAGCGGAGCCCCCGGTGCCTCCCGCACTCCCGGGCGCTCACGGGACGGTGCCCCCAGCGTGGGGAATGCACCGGGACCGGCCCCGAGCGTGGCTGCGGGCGCACAGCCTGCGTGTGCCTGAACTCGGAGATCAAAAATCACCAGGCGCTCGGAGGCTCGCAGGAAACTTTCAGAATCACAACTATCCTCTGTGTCTGCGGTGCGTGTATGGCCCTGCAAGCGAGTATACTTTTCGCCTCTGTAAATTCAGAATTTGCACAGCGGTTTTATGTATTTCCTGAAATTAACACATATACACATACATACAAACGCTTTTAAGAATTCTGAGCTACTGAACCCCGTCTCCGAAAGAAATCAATTGCTCACTACCGTTCATTTTCCCTGGGTGCAAGGAGTTCCCCGTATTTTATTTTGTGCAAAAAAAAAAATCCCACGTACAGATCCCGCCCTGTTGCTGCCACCCCAGCCGTCCCCATCCTAAACGCTTCCATAACTCTCTAAATTTTTGTAACGTTGACGCTGACAGTATCTCCATTTCTGATAGCGAGGAATAGATAAGGAGATGTATACCTGCCAAAGAAGAAAAAATAAATCTGAAACCTAATCAATGATCTCAGAAAATGTTTAGGATGAAATAAAATAAAATACAATAGAATACAAAATTAAAATGCAATAAAATACAGCAATAAAATAATCGAGAACGTTTTGAGCCCGAAGTGAACAGCTGTGATTGTTTCCCAAGCCAACGCAAGGTGATGTCACAGATCTAATCGAAACATTGCCAGCTTCTTCATTATCAATATCTGTACACAATTTACAGTTTAATTAAAAATATTTAGTCTCAGTGTATTTAGCGATTAGTTATCAAAGCAAACGTCACAGCGAATATGTTACTTCCTCGAGTTTGTAGGAAATTGCAACATCCAATTTTTCTTCAAGAAATGAGTATAAACCCGACCGCTAACAATTTGGAGAGTCCTGTGACACGCCGGCCTCCGTCGAGGTTCAATCTCTAGCCTTAGAAAAGAGTGTCTGTACAAACGCACCCAGCTCCCCCCAGCCCTGCATGCATCTTTTATTTTTAAAATATCTTTTCCGTTACTCTGGGCTGACCCAAGGACGAAGCGGCTCCGGTGCGCAACAGCCGCGGGCGCGGAGGACAGAGCAGCACCTGGGCCCGACCGCCCCGGTCCCGTCTCAGCCGCAGGGTGCCTCGGGAGCCCGCGGTGGGCTCGCAGGAGCCCGGGACAGGGCAGACGAGGCCGGCACACTCCCCGCATTCTCCCTTCTCCGCCGTCGGGGTGCCGTGCGCGGGCTCTCCTCGTCGCGGAGCCGGCGCGGTTCCCCCGCGGAGCTTCCCGCCCCACTGGCGAAGGGCGAGCGCCGGGGAGAGCTCATTTCGGTGCGCTAATCAATTACTGCTTGTGCAGTCAAGTACCATATATTTAACAGAATAATCGTTACCGCCCTTAAGTCTTTATTTGATCAGCAGATACTCGGAGCGGACTTAAAACGCAACTTTGCTTGTTTGAATTGCGTGGCGTGTGTGTGCTTTTTAAATCCGAGCTAATGACACCATGAAACGGCCGTAATCTCCCGCCTGACGCCAGCAAACACCGCGCGGGCACCGGGGCCCGCCCGACGTGGCGGCCCGGCCGGGGCAGCGGCCACAGCGCGCTGCAACCGACCGGACACAATTGCCTTTCTTCCCTTTTTCTTTTCTTCTCTCTCTCTTTTTTTTTTTTTTCCTTTTCCTTTATTTTCTTTTTTCCCCCTTTAATTTATTTTTATTTGTATTATACTTTTCCACTTTGATTTTCTTTTAATGGCGTGTGAGGGGGCTGCCGCCGCCCGCGCCCTCCGCGCCTCCTGTGCGGTGACAGCTTGCGGCACCGGGTCCCCTCGCACGGGGAGCGTGTCAAAGGTGACGCTCGAAGGCTCCCAAAGCCAACAGCTGCCGGGGGGGATTAACTTTTCCAGACTTTCCCCTGTCGAGCTTCTTGGAAACTTGCTTGGCGACAAAAACATATACATCTGTCGGGGGCAGGCAGAGAACAGAGGGCTGCCCGGCCGGGGCAGGTGGGGGAGGGCCTGGCTTTCAGGGGAAGCTGCGGCGCGGCGGGGGCTCGCTGCGGGTGCCCGCCCGGGGGGGTCCTGCCCTTCCCCTCTCCCCCGGGCCCGACTTCTGCCCGAGGGGAGCCCCGCGGAACCCGGGGTCGGCAGCGCGGGGGCTGAACTCGCTCCCAGCCGGCCCCTGCCACCCGCCTAAGGGCGCTGGGCTCTTCCCTTCTCCCCTCTGGAGCCCCACGGTGGGGTCTGAAGGACGCGGGGCTGGGAGAGGGCACCGAGCGAGCCCGGGCGCTGCCCGGCCGAGCCGCCGCGGTCCCTCTGCAGCCGCGCTCTCCCGCACCCCCCGGAGCAAACCGCAGCGCTTGTTAATGAAGGAACTTATGGAAGATTGCAAAACACCGTAAATAATTTAGCATTGTATTTCAGGAAAAAAAAAATAGCTTTCTTAAATCATCTCCTCAATATAACTTGCAGACTTACAGTATGGCCCTGGTAAGTCTAAATTTTTAAAGTAGCAATACTCAAAGAGACAGAGATGTCTGTATTAATTATTTATCCGCTGGTGCCTTCCTTCGTTTCTAACTTATTATTAATTAGGCGCCTCTAGTCTTTCGCAGAGAGCTCCACAGAGCCAGTTGCAGCTTTAAATATGAATTAAAAGCAAATCCAAGCTACTGTAATGCGAAAATTATTCCGTGTCTTCTATGGCAGAGATGAATAGCTGCGCAAATCAATACTGTGAAGCTATGCTCCAAACGACAGGGTTATTGATAGCTTATATTAATGATGTTAATGATGGAAAAAGGAAAACAAGAACCCGACCAACTTATAAACTTTTTATCTGC